TATTTACACTAAATTTTAATATTTTAACATTTTAGCATTTTAAAGTCAATTAGTTGACCAGTCGTGGAGTGAACTTTTGCGAAAGTAAACAACTTGTGTTTCGCGCGCTCATATGACCTTAGCAGTTGCGAGCGCCGTAAAACCCTATACTACATACATACATACAGACAGCATTTTGTATAGGGCAAATTCTCGCCCAAAGCAGGTTCAATGCGCTTTAACAATCTACCTCAATAGCCCTGCAAACCTGAACGCATTCTAAAACAATCTCAACTCTGGTAGACTCTAAGTATACAGTGCAAGCTGTCATTTTTCAGGCGCTAAAACACTAGCATAATATACTGAGAATAATAATTTTTATTGTCTTTGGCCAGCCATCCTATTTAGGTGAAGTGAGGAAATTTCGTGCTACAAATGTATTAATTTTAAGTGCCTTTCCCAAGGACACAGGGCCTGCACAAAGTCTTGACCCGAACCCCCGAACTCGCAACCTCACGATTACAAGTACAAGTCCGCTGGTAGCCTAAGAAAAGAAAACAAATTACGTCAGCTAAAATTTTTAAGAAGCCAAACATTAGCGGGACCGCTATCATCATGGTGGGGAGATTAATTTAATTACTTTTCTTTACAAGTAACACAGGTATAACGACAACAAAGTATGGATATACCCGCTTGAACAGTAGTACATAGTACAATCAAGGAGCTTAGTTAGAACTACTGTAAACTCCTTGAGTACAATTTACAATGTAATGTAATTCATTCTTGTTCCGTGCCGATCAAGTCAATTTCGATCTAGATATATATATATTATATAAGAACTCAGATATACGGCCTTGCATTACACTTACCTAAGTGGCATCGCATTAAAAAAATGAAATACTTTTCGTAGTCAAACATAATAGAAAATAATAATTATTAATTATGAGATGATGGATGCCAACAATATAGATCTATATGATAATATGATTATTTCAGCAAGCTAGCTCGATTCAAACCCATAACCTCGTACGAAGGCTCTCTAAAATAGTCTTTTTACATTTTCATTGTACTACGTTTTTTTTTTTTTTTCACTTTTTAACCTTTAAGTGCAATGATATTACGGCCACTTCAATATTAATTATTAGCTTGAAAATCTTTTTTTGTTTTGTTTGACCCAACAAAGTCGCGCACACTTTTATACAATGTAAAAGTCAGTGTAAGCATACGCCCGGAACATTTTCCGAAATCCGAAGTATCTCTAAGTTTAGCTTGCAAAACATTGAACAAGACTCCTGGACTCTAGCAGTCGAAAGTCTCAGGTTTCCGACACTTCAAAACCTAGAACTTTACACCTATTGATTGGGCAGACTATTTCAAATGATGAGTCGACATTTGCTTGCAAGGAGGCTTGATTTTAAGGTAATTATTGAGCATTTTCTCTTCTTTCTAAAAAGAACTTTTAATGATTATAAGACTATAAGTGTAAGTCAAGTTCATTGACATTATAACCCCACCCCCCCCTCCCCCGGCCCGGGTCTAGGCCCTATCCTACTTCAAGCTGACCTGGGATTCCCCCCCCCCCTCCCCCTGTACCTTCAGAATGGCCATGGGACCTTGAATCCTTGCCAAGTCTTTTGATATATATAATTATATTTGACGTCTTAGACTTAGATCTAGATTAGATCTAGATTCTAGATTCTAGATTCTAGATTCTCTAGATCTACTTTTGTATGTTGCCCACGTACCCTCCGTACCCTCCGTACCCTCCTACAGCAAGTCGGTGTAGTGTAGTATCATAATCATGTCTGTGTTCATTTGAGTCAATCGTGTCAAGTGTATGTCATGGTCTCCTTCCTGTCTCCTGATCTTGTGTTTCATTTTTAAATCCTTGGCCATGATTCCTTTTATGCCCAAATATACAACATAGGGGTACTGTGCTGTGTAGCCTGATAATTTTAACCCTTTGAGGCCAAGCCATTGCATTGAATTTGGTTTAGAATCTACCCTCGAGTCCCAAGACTGTTGTGAAAGTAGTGATTCTAGATTATCCTTGTTTTTTTTTCTTCTTGTTTTTATTTTTTAAAAATTAAAATATTATTTACCCTAAAGTAAAAGAAAATAGGGAATCCAAGGCTTGAACTGAAATTAATGTTTTTCCACTTTTCGAATGAGAGATTTGGAGGTTTTCATGTTGGCTTTTGACTTGCTATCATTTTGTTTGCAAACAGTTTTTCCATGTGACGGAAATGAAGAGCAAAATTCATACACCATTTTTTACATAAAATGTCAGTCTCAATTGTGTTAAAATGCTTGTTCCGATGTGTGTCTTATGGTTCAGATGATGTCCAAGGTGCTGAGGAAAATGCTGTCTCTTCAAAGTGGCCGCAGACTTGGGGCCCGAGCCTTTTCCAGCCATACTGGGGAGTCTGGTGATGGCTTGATGACCATCTTTGAGGGTACGTCTACACTCTATTATCCTTTACAGCACTGCTTCCCAACCTGGGCAACATTTGCGTACTTGTGGGTGACTTGGATCAAATGCAACACCAGGGAACAGTGGCTGAATGGATGGGCAATGGGCAAAACTGGAAGAGCTGTATTTGCACACATGACAGCCCCCAACTCTAAAGATGCAATAAATTCCCTGAGTAGAAGAGAACAAGTCACAATATTTCACCTGCGAACACAACACATACCACTAAATTCCTACTTTAATAGGATCCGCAAGGATACCCCACCTGACTGCCCGTTGTGCGACTGCAAGGATGAAACAGTACCACACCACCTCTTTAACTTTAACTGCCCAGCACTTTGTGACCTGCGTAGCACCTACCTACCTGCCTTCCCAGACATCGGAAACACTATACAGCAACAAAGCACAGCTGATTAAAACCTGTCAATTCTTTGCCATATTGACAGACCGAAGGGCTAGAACCCAAATGGCCGCTGGATCGGAAAAGTAAAGTAAAAAGTAAAGTAAAGTGGGTGACTTGGTAATTTTCGTAGGCGGTTGGGAACACCATGATAGTGACAGGTATTATTTAATGTCCCCGCTGGGAAATACATGTAGGGAGGCGGTTTGAACATTCTGGTCTCTTGAGGTGACGGAAGTGGGCGCCAGCAATAAAGTATAAAGAGACTGAAAAGCACTGCTGCACCAGAACATTTTCTAAAGTTATGTGTACAAAATTTAAAAATTAATCTTAGTTCTAAAGATGAGACCATCCGTGTTGCTCTTGATACAGAGTCATGAGAATGTTCATCCTTTGACAAAGTAAGTAAAACGTTGAAGTTGAACACATTATTCATTAAATTTTTTCTTTTTTCTTTTTTCAGTTCTGACAATGAAGGAAGTAATTTGAGATCATTTTAATGAAATATTTGTTGAACATGTTTTGTAACATTTTTCTTCCGCCCCCCCTCTGTTCTTTCCAGTACGCGACCACCTGATGGACATGGTGGGATCTCGGAGTCAGTGGGAGTAAGTTGATGAGTGTGTATGTGTGTGTGTGTTTGTTTGTGTGTGTGTGTGTATGTGTGTGTTTGTGTGTGTGTGTGTTTGTGTGTGTGTGTGTGTGTATTTTTGTGTGTGTGTTTGTTTGTGTGTATGTGTGTTTTGATTTGTGTATGAGTGTAAGAGAGAGTTGTATGCCTGAATTTGTGTGTTTTATATATATAGTTCAAGTTCAATACGGACTTTCATGTGTTTGCATTTTTGTTTGTTTATGAGTATGTGTTAATCAGATATGTATTTGTAGATGCAGTGCCTGAGGGAGAAGTATTTTTAAGTGACAAGTAACAGCATCAGATGTATGTGGGTTTTCTTTAAGGCAGTTGACGTAGTGAGACATGTGCCTGTCATGTGTCAAGAACAAAGGGGACAGATAGATCTTGAGCTGACTATTGTTTTAAGGAAAATTCTATTTTGATTAACTCTTACAACCCATAGGCGCATAACCTGCTTAGTCGCAACAATTTCAATTAGAAATATGCACATGTTAGCATTTTCAGCAAAACAAGAAAGTTTTCAAGCTACAAACATGTTAGCCCATTTAATTGTAAGGAAAGGAGAAAGATTTGATAAATGAAGAGACATTTGTAACACAGGCAAGCAGTTATTTTAGGATGAAAGAGGAAAATAAAACAAAAAATTTCTATAATGCAGCATCTACTCAGTAGACGTGCTGACTACTAAGAGTTAAGAATAACTCGACACAGCTGTGGTACATCATGCATCGTGACTTTTTTCTTCCTTTCTTCTCACCATGTTTTGCACTTAACAACTGTGTTAACGACCGTGTTACACAGAACTGGTCCTGTTTTTTTTGTTGTTGTATTTTTTGTCATGTTTACGGATGGTTGGCAGATGCTCTGTTGTGGTTTGCTCTTACTTCCCCGGCAAACATGTATCGTCCTAAATCTCTCCTTCTTATTTTTGTGTTTGTTACTCTCTTGTAACACCTCTAATCTTTGGCACTAATATGATCTAATTGTGTTGTAAGCGCTGTGAAACTCCCTACTACAACGAAACTGTTGTGTTTGCGTATTGTTTCTATTCATGGTCTTTTTCAAGTTTTGAAGAGTATGACTGTATGAGAATGGTACATCAGTTCATATTAGCATATCTGGAAATATGTCTATTAAGCCAGTCTGTCATGTTGTTTTACCATAATTTTGTTATGGAGCAATGTGCGATGATTGTGGTTCATACGTACAATTGGCCTGTAAAATCAGAATCTACTGGAACAAACTTTTTACAGGAAGGAAGCTGCTGCACAGAAAGACAAAAACAGAAACTTGTAAGAAAATATACTTTTCAGATCCTCACTTTGAAGATCTGCTTCATCAGCACACATGAATTTAAAAATACCTTTATTGCACATTTTCAACGCAGTTTTACACAATGTTTTCTTCTCTAATAATTTGTTGGCAATGTCCGATATCTTTGTGGGACAATCGAAGAAGAAAGACAGATTATGAGATTGATGTGTAAAGTGTATGATGGTGCAAGGTTGTGGCGTCTCAAACGATAGGAACCAAATTGAGTCATTCTTTTTCGTAAAGTGTTTGAAAATATTTCTATTATTTGTTTCACCTGCTTCCCACTGCCATTATTATAGCAGAACTTGACTTTATCTTGTCCACACTTGTAGCTTCTGACCCCTGTGATGTCTGCGGTTTGCTCCTTCTTTCCTATCAAACATCTGTCGTCCTTTTCTCCCCTCCTTCTATTTAGTGTTTGTTACTCTCTTGTAACACCTCTAATCTTCGGCACTTATAATATATGACCTTATTATGTTGCAAGTGCCGTGAAACTCTTACCAAAACTAAAACTGTGATGTCTGCATGTTGAATGATGTGTCTTTTCCTAGGACATCAGATACTTGGTGTGCACCATACTGTCGTAGTGGCTGCAGGAGGGGGCCATATTCTTTATATAGATAGCACTATGAAGTCTTACAGAAACACTTTTTTCTTTTTTCTGCATCTTTATTGTTCATTTACTTTTGTGGGGTTTTTTTGGTTTATTTTCTTGTTTATTTATTCGTTTTGTTCTTTCTCTTTGCATTGAGGATCCATCACTTTTACTTTGACTGTTGTTCCATGGGTGCAGGAATTGCTATGCCAGTGTTGTACTTTGTTGACTCATACTTGATAAAATAATTTCTGGCTCCTCCAGAGAGTGGGAAAGAGGGATGCATGCTTCTGGTCTTTGGACTGTGGACTGTGGTGAAAAGAGGAGTGTACAAGAGTTTTCCTCTAAAAGACAGTATATCAAATTGAGTTATTGATTGCACCTGATAGTTTAAAACAGGGTGCAGATTTTTAGCTTTGTTTGGTATGAATATCTTAACATATAAGGCAGGGAAAATGTTTAAAAGATATATTCAGGGACTGGCTGTTGAGAGACGAAGATGTATTTTTTTGGCGTGCCTGAACATTTTCGGAACTGGATGTATACTGTCTTTTCAAAATGAAACTCCAGTGTAAGACTTATAGCTAAATAATCCAGAGATAAAAATCTGCTGTAGGTCAGCTGACAATTCTCTCACACGACAGCAGAAACAAAGGTGTCAGCAACAGCAACAAAAATAAGGGGGATGACGATGATGATGTAGATAACTTCATCAGCAATGACAAACAAGCACTTACTCATTGTTCTTTATAAATTCTATTTTCTTTTGCTACTTCTGGGTGAATTTCTTTTACAGTGACATATAAATTATATAAATTTTTTAATGTGTATTACACATTCTGTATTGTCTACTAAGCACTAAAGCGTCATATGATAGGAATTGGCAATGACAACAAAAAAAGACTGATCATACATAATAATATGTAACAGCTTCCATTAGCAATCGGTAACTATAGTAGATGTGTTCCCTGATATTATTGTGTGTAGCCTGTAGTGTGGGATAGTCGTATAACGCACTGGGTGGGTGGGGCAGTAATGAATTCTCAATAATGGACTTCCCCTCTTTTATCTTTTGCTATTTTTGATGTGCTATACTGGAGCTTGTCATTGATCTGTTGCAGTGGTTGGTTGGCGGGTGCTCTGGTGTGGTCTGCTCCTTCTTTCCTATCAAACGTATCTTGCCTTTATCTCTCCTCCTTCTTTTTTGTGTTTGTTATTCTCTTGTAACACCTCTAATTTTCGGGACTTATATGACCTTATTGTGTTGCAAGTACTGTAAAACACTTATTAAAACAAACAAAGGATCTGTTACGGCTTTCAAACTGTATCTGACTTGCTATGTTCCACTCTATGTATGATTGTTGTAAGACTTTTCCTTGAACAGGTTAGTTCAACCCACTGGCCACCTTTTCCCTTTCCCTTGTTCATTGATGGTTGGCGGGTGCTCTGGTGTAGTTTGCTCCTTCTTTTCTGTAAAACGTCTATCATCCTTATCTTTTCCCCCTTCTTATTTTGTTTTTGTTTCTTTCTTGTACAATCTCTAATCTGCGGCACTCGTCATGACCTAACAGTGTTGCAGGTGCCCTAAAACTGTTACAAAAACATAACAAAACCCCCAAAAACAACTTGATCTTGCTGATTCATTTTACCTCGTGTGGTGGGACATTTCCTTGTTCGGGTTAGCTTCTCCCCCCCCCCCCACCCCTCCAGGGCAATTCTCTTTCCCTTACTTGCGGTGCAAATTTGACAGTTTTCTTATCTTCCAATACCTCTCAAATGGGTGGTTGGCGGGTGCTCTGCTCTGGTTTGCTCCTTCTTTCCTATCAAATATCTATCGTCCTTACCTCGCTCCCTTTCTTCTATTTTATGTCTGTTACTCTCTTGTTGCGAGCGCCGTAAAACCTCTACTAAAACCAGACTAAATTCCTCTCACCCCTTCCCCCCCCCTCTTTAATCATCCAATTCCTCCCCCATCCAGGTCTGGTGAGACCGTTGACCCTGACCAGGGTGTCCTTCAGGCGGTCACAGACTCCCAGGAGGAGCTGCCCAAACGGACACCTCAGGACAGCTTCGCCCAGGCAGTCATTCCTCTGGGTCGTGACCCCAGCGCCAGGGAGAGTTACCTCACTTTTGCCCGCGGCATCCGCTTTGGTCGACTGTTGGAAAATTTCGATACTTTTGCCGGTATGTATGTAAGCTTTTAGAGTTTTCAAGGCAGGAGGTTTTGGTACCAAAATTTACTCTCTTTTCTCTCTCTCTCTCTCTCTCTCTCTCTCTCTCTCTCTCTCTCTCTCTCTCTCTCTCTTTCTTTCTCTCTTTTTCTCTGTTTTCTTTCTCTGCTTGTCTCTCCTCTCTCTTTTTGTGTTTCTCTCTTAACCCCTCTCCCTTTTTCTCTCGTCTTTCTCCTTTTTCTCTCTGTCTGTCTGTCCCACTCAGGCTCTCTTGCTTTGTTTCTCTTGCTCTATCTCAATTTGTCTCTTATTTTTTTCTCTCTTTCTGTAATGGCTCCCCCCCCCCCGAGTGGCTTTCGTTTTCTGCTTCCACAATTAAATTC